TGGAGACCTGTCCAGGTGTTCCTGTGATGGACTGTAGACCTGTCCAGGTGTCCCTGTATGGACTGGAGACCTTTTCCAGGTGTCCTTGTGATGGACTGGAGACCTGTCCAGGGTGTCTCTGATGGACTGGAGACCTGTCCAGGGTGTCTCTGTGATGGACTGGAGACCTGTCCAGGTGTCCCTGTGATGGACTGGAGACCTGTCCAGGGTGTAAAACAGTGTTAAATATTGGCCATCAGCTGATCAGATTGAAAACAACTCATACAGGTCAACTTCTAATTTGAATTTAGTCCCTTTATTCTTATGCTCCAAACTAAAATCCAATCCAACCACCATAAGTCACACCTGTATGTAATTTTTTTTCAGTTTAATCCAGCTGAAGGTCTAAGAGGTTTGTTACAGAACTTTAGGGAACAAACAGCATCATGAAGACCATGGAACCTACCTGACACCTGACTTCTCACTGTGACTGCTGTATATGTACACCAGTGACCCCTGCGACTCGGAAAGGACAAAGCAGGTAAAGATGATGGAAGGATGATGACCAAACTGCTCCATCTCCTTCTGGGTGAAAAGGAGCTGCTTGTGTCCAATAATCTTTAAGTCAAACCAGAGGGTCTCAGTTTGACTGAGGTCTGTACTTTGGGCCATTCCAGGACATTAACTGGTTCTTCTTAACCTTCTGAAGTGTTGCTTCAGCAGTGTGTTCACACACGAGCATCTTGAGGCCAGCTGGAGTTCAATGGAACATCAGAAATTAATGAAAGGCCTAGTATTCCTTGAAGGAATGAATATTGCCTGTCACACTTCATGTCAGAATTTTAAACTATTCAGAGTCAGAGTCAGAGTCAGAGAGTCAGAGTTTCTTTATTGTCATTCGCACCTCATGTGGTACATGTGGTGGAGCGAAATTATGTACACGGGGTCCCAGTTACATCCAACAATAAAATGTATAAGAAAAACAGTAATAACATCAAAGATATGAACTAAGAAAAACATCAACTAAATATACACTAAGCACTCATAACATAAAACATTGAACATCAGCACAAACATGAACATGAGTCTGTGAGCAGATGTGCACGCATGAACACATCAACATTGAAACAGATCAGCAGCAACATGAAACAGATCAGCAGCAACATGAAACAGATCAGCAGCAACATGATATGGTTTTTCACAGTGATTATTCTAGTTAGAGATTCATGAGTCTAACAGCCTCAGGGTAGAAGCTGTTCCTCAGTCTAGTGGTTCTACACTTAATGCTCCTTAACCTCCTTCCTGAGGGGAGTGGGGCAAAAAGTGTGTGTGCTGGGTGGGTGGGGTCCTTCATGATGCAGGTGGCCCTCTTCCTGCATCTGGAGGTGTAGATGTCTGTGATGGTGGGGAGACTGACTCCAACAGATTTCTGTGCAGCCTTCACCACTCTCTGCAAAGCTTTTCTTTCTGCAGCTGTGCAGCCTCCATGCCACACATTGATGCTCGAGCACAGGATGCTCTCCACTGCACACCTGTAGAAGGAGGTGAGGACTGAGCTTCCCAGACCAGCTCGCCTCAGCCGTCTGAGGAAGTAGAGTCTCTGATGAGCTTTCTTGATCAGGCTGGTGGTGTTGTTGCTCCAGCTGAGGTTGTCATTCATGTGTACACCCAAGTACTTGTAGCTGGAGACCACTTCCACCGCAGATCCTCTTATGTTCAGGGGGGTGTAGGTGTTTTTGTTCCTTCTGAAGTCCACAATCATCTCCTTTGTCTTCTTCACATTGATGTGAAGGTTATTCTCTCTGCACCAGCTCTCCAGGTGTTCCACCTCCTGCCTGTAGCTGGACTCATCATTGTTTGTGATGCATCCCACCACCGCTGTATCATCTGCAAACTTTACAATGTGACAGCCTGGATGGGTAGCTGCACAATCATATGTGAGCAGAGTAAACAGGAGGGGGCTCAACACACATCCCTGAGGAGAGCCAGTGCTGAGGGTTATGGTGGAGGAGGAGAGGTTGTGGATCCTCACTAACTGTGGTCTGTTTGTTAAAAAGTCTACTACCCAGTTGCAGATGGAGGGGCTTAGTCCTAGTGTGGATAGTTTGTCCATCAGGGTTTGGGGGATCATGGTGTTGAAGGCGGATGTGAAGTCCACAAAGAGCATACGGACGTAAGAGTTTTTCTGCTCCAGGTGGTTGAGTGCAGTGTGGACCACAGAGGAGATTGCATCCTCTGTTGATCGGTTCTCACGGTATGCGTACTGATGAGGGTCCTCGTTGATGTTGATGGTTGTTTTGATGTGAGTCATGACCAGTTTTTCGAAGCATTTAGCGACTATCGGGGTGAGGGCCACTGGCCGATAGTCATTCAGACCAGTCACTGTAGAGCTTTTTGGGACTGGGATGATGGTGGCAGTCTTCAGGCAGGTGGGAACTGTCTCCAGGGTAAGTGAGGTGTTAAAGATGTCTGCCAGCACCTCACAGAGCTGATCAGCACATTCCTTCAACACTTTTCCGGGGATGTTGTCTGGGCCAGTTGCTTTGTGCGGATTAATCCTCCTGAAGGTATTCCTTACTTCTGCTGAGGTCACGCTGAGATGCTCTTCATCCGGTGGTGAGGTGAGTCTGGTGCTGGGTGGTCTGTTCGGGTCTTCAAAGCGTGCATAGAACTTGTTGAGGGCATCAGGCAGAGATGGGTCTTTGGGACATTGTTCACTCCTTCCTTTATAATCTGTTATGCACTTAATGCCCCTCCACATGCTCCGAGGGTCTTGTGAGATGAATTGACCCTCGATCCTCTTTGCATATGTGCCCTTGGCCCTCTTAATACCAGCAACCAGCTCTTTTCTTGTCCTACTCAGCTCCTCTGAGTTTCCAGACCTGAAGGCAGTGTTCCTGGCTTCCAGCAGGGTACGCACCTCTGCATTCAGCCAAGGTTTTCTGTTTGGGTAGCTTTTAACATTTCTGATAGTGGAGACTGTGTCAGTACATGTACTAATGTAACCCAGTACTGAGGATGTGTATTGGTCAAGATCAAGCGAACCTCCATTTTCAGCAGCTTCTCTGAAAACCTGCCAGTCTGTTCGATCAAAACAATCTCTCAGTATGGGGCCACTGTCCTGGATCCAACATTTAACTTTCTTTTGAACCGGTCTGGAGCGTCTCAGCGGGGGCATGTAAGCAGGAGCCAGGAAGATTGAGATGTGGTCTGACAGTCCTAGGTGGGGGCGGGGTTCGGCTTTGTATGCATCTTTTACGTTCGTGTAAACACGGTCCAGCGTGCGGTCTCCACGTGTTGGAATCGTCACATGCTGATTAAAGCTTGGGAGACAGTCCTTTAGATTCACGTGGTTAAAGTCTCCGGCTACCACGTAAAGAGCCTCGGGGTGTTTGTTCTGCAGCGAGCTGATGATATCATGAAGCTCCTGTAGTGATTCATTAGTGTTAGCGTCCGGAGGAATGTAAACAACTGTGATAAAAGTCACTGTGAACTCTCGAGGTAGATAATGTGGCCGACATTTCACTGTTATTTGCTCCAAAGCCTTCGAGCATGAGCTATTTACAACAGTACAGTTCGTGCACCAACTTTTACTCACGTAAATGCACACTCCGCCTCCCCGTGATTTCCCCGTTAGCTCGCTGCAGCGGTCCGCTCGAAAAAAAAAGTCTGTCATCCAGCTGGAAGACTGAGTCCGGCGTTTCACTTGTAATCCACGTTTCTGTGAGGCAAAGCACCGCACACTTCTTCATCTCTTCTGAGGCGCCCGCTCTCAGACGAAGTAAATCCACCTTGTTGTCCAACGAGCGGACATTCGACAGAAAGAGAGACGGCATGGGGAGTTTACCGGCTTTAGCGTTAGCTCGTAGCCTCACCATAACCCCCGCCCGGCATCCTCTCCTCTTAAGCCGGGAGCAGCGCTTCCTCTTCTGCCCGCTGGAACGCCTCTGCTGCAGCTTCCAGGTAGATGACTTTAAGATCTGCATTCTGCCGAGCGTAGCTTTGAGTTTGTTGCTGATTTCTGCTATATTTCGTGGCAAATCCGCTCCTATTCTCATCAGTTCGGTTCGGCTATAGTTCACACGCATAAATCGCGCAGAGTCAGGCACAGAGTCAATATCAAAACTTCTAAAAACTGGGATGGTACCGGGAGCCTGTGAAGCTGCAACTGCTCTGAGCGCGGCCATAGGTGCATATTATCTACTGATGAGAACAAAGTTCTACTCATTCTAGTCAAACCTTGTAAATAACTCAACGCATGTTCTTACATTTTTGAAAAGTCTTTTGTGTTGCAGTTGCATTTGCAATATGTTTTAAAATGTGTGAATCTCAGCTACTACCATACCAAACTTTAGCTCAATATTTGTAAAACAAATAACTTTTTAATAAGTTATCTTCATTTTAGTGTTTCCTAAGGTCATGTATTCCATCCATCATCTTAACCCACTTCTTCCTTTTTGGGTCACGGGGGGGTCACTGGTGCCCATATCCAGCAATCACAGTGTGAGAGGCGGGGGACACCCATGACAGGTCTCCAGTCCATCACAGGGACACAGAGACAAACAACTGTTCACTTTCTCACACCTAGGGACAATATGCATGTTTTTGGTCTGTGGGAGGAAACCAGAATACTCGGAGAAAACCCACGCAGCACAGAGAGAACATGCAAACTCCACCCAGAAAGGCTCCCGGCTGGGATTTGATCCACTGACCTGCTTGCTGAGAGGTGGCAGCTTTACCAACTGTGCCACTGTGCATCCTAATTCTGCTTTATTAATCTGAAGTATTTTTTTGAATGTCAATTTCTCAAAATCAAATAGGAAATCTATGTGTTGTAGGCCAACAGAATAAAAAGTTTACCAAAGTTGTTGAATACTTTCTCAATCCACTAGACTTTCAACAATTTCTGAACAGGTCCATTAAATCTTTACCACGTTACTGCCATGATTAAACTTTTCCAAAATGCTTGTATATGTAGTGAGATTAGGCTGCAGTGCCCTAACGTGTTGTTCTTCCTGAAGGGCTGATGAGTGGGTGCTGAAAGGGATTTCTGGCTACATCTATGGACTCTATCTAAAGAAGACCTTTGGAGTCAATGAGTATCGGCATTGGATCAAAGAGGTAACTGCTTCACTGTCGGCAGCAATAAAACACAATATTTCATAAATTCAATGTAAGCATACAGTATCCTAAACTGTTAGTGTCCCTCTGGGGCAGCTGTGGCTGAGTGGTTAGAGCAGTCAAGGATTCAAGGTTCTTTATTGTCATTCATGTAGTGAACTAGAGCTCCGACCTCAACCTGTCTCTGAAGACCTTCAGGGAACAGGAACTGCTATTTCATTGATTTAAATCCAGAAATACAAGTTATCTCTTCAAGAGACTATTTTATTGTATCCTGAATGAATCAATTGAAAGAACACTCTTCCTTTTTACATTATCATTACTATTTTAGAATATCTTGATAATCAAATGTGTGTTTAGTTCATACCATTTCTAAATGTTGAAGTGAACCACTCATTTAAATCAACTGTGAAACAGTATTAATGATTTTTAAACCTCAGCAGATTTTTGATCATACAGTTAAATGCCTGTTTACAAAGTAAGTGTGCATTTTAGTCTTCTGTCTGAATGAGGAGTAGTGATGTCGTTCGAAAGTCAGAGACAAACAGAGACGAGTTATTAGAACGAAGTGTCTTGTTTTTAATTCTTGCAGACAGTAAATAACTTCAACTGGCACCTGCTTTGTCTCACCTCTTCATAAACATTTCTCTGTCTGTACTAACCGTTCGTAAACATTCCTGCTGTCTCTTGACTCCTAGTGACCCTCTTGACATCACTAGAACCACCCCCTGCTGGTTGTTTCAACCAATCAGGAAGTACCACGTAACAGGAAGTGTATACCCCTTTAAAAGGAACACTTCGTGGAACTATTCAGTCAGTCCTGGAACTCAGTCGGAGTCTTAAGTCTTAGTCTTCATGAGTCTTAGTCTCTTCTAAGTCTTGCTGGAACTTTCAGTCAGAGATGAGACTCAACTAAGTAGCGGATGGATGGGACCATGTGCAAAGGATCCCTCCATTTCAGCAGAGTCACAGCTCACATCGCTGTGCACTCAACCCGAGCAGTAAATCCTCCACTTCTAAGGAAGCTTATTCGGTGGAACCGAGTACTTCGGCATTTATTCTGTTGATCGGAGCATATGGAACTACTTCTAAAGATTCTCAGCCACCCTGACCGGAGAAGCTGAAAAGGGAGCGTGAGATGGACCTCTTTTTTTCACACGCCTCACAGTGGCTCCTTTCATTCATCCTTGAAGAAGGCTTTTTACAATAACACTGCAGCTCGATGAATCACTCAAAAGCTCACGTAATTCGCAGCTAAGAATGAACATGTTCTGCAGACCGAGTCCAGTGGTAAACCTCGCCCTCAATCGGCGCCGCGCGCTGCTTCCTGACCACACCAGCGTCAAACGCGCGCCCCCGCGACAATCCTCGCCTAAGACACCGCGTCGTCGAGGGCGCACACACACGACTCTTCAGCGCACGTCGGCTCACATCAACGTAGATGCGAGCCCGCAGCCTGAGCACAGCATGGAAATGTTTTTCAGAGCCTTTTCGTAACAGTCTCCCCATGAGTGTGCGGAGCGCGTCTCCGCGGCGCAGGACTGCGGTGGAGGCGGTGAGACATTACGCACCACGTAACGTGCACCCGCTCCCCAAGCGTTATGCGGACCGGCAGAACGGATATGAGCTGCAGCCTGAGTGCTGCACCCGCAGCAACCCTAACCGGTTCCGCATGCTCGGGGGTGCGCACCTTTCTCCAACGTGAGTGCAGCACAGAGGCACCGCGTCCTGCAGCATCGGCAGCCCGCACACGGCCCGCATGCTCGGGGGCGCGCGTTTCATTCTCCGTAAGCGCGCACCAGCTCACATCAGCATGCATGTGAGCCCACAGCATAAACGCGTGCCCGCTTCCCGGACATTACGCGGACTGGCAACGAGCGGCGCTCCAGATGGATAGATGAACCGTTATCAGCAGGGGATTCACGCTGCAGTACAGCTCAAAACTCCCATTCGGAGGAACTCTAGAGACGTTTTCTGTCATCTCTAGAACAGATTTCGTCCCCCCTCGCAGAAGCTCAGGAAATTCTGATTAAAATGCAATTTCCAGGGTCCCAGAAGGAGAGGAAAACGCAGGGTTCCACTCTCGTCACTCCCTGGTTCCAATGGACCGGAAAGATGAGATTTATCCTAGATTTGTCAATTTTGAACTGTGAGATAACATTCCCATTAAAATGCGTCGAGCCGCTCGGCAGCCGCCACACAGAGCAGGGAGGAGAATTCTGCTTTATCTGGACATCTGTTGCTACTGACCCGTTTTTCCAGACAGATGGCAGCAGTGCAACTCACGTGAAACCGGCAGAGGAATATCAGCTGTTTTCCGTCAGCAGACATGTGTCAGACTTCACAGAGGCACAAACATTTAACGAGCTGTGGGGGCGCTGTGGTCCCCACACAGCAGCTCATATAAATGTTTTTGGAGTGTCGCATGGGTTTTGAATGTGATTCAACACTTTGCTTCTGTGCTGCGGAATCATCAAGTTTTTGATTCACACAGACAGCAAGTGACTGTTGCATACATAACCGGCAGGAGGTGTATGCGCTCAACCCAAATGTTCCACATTGTGAGACAGATGCTGTGTGGGGCACACCAAATCTGCTCTCCATCAGAGCAGTGTACATCTCCGGTGTTATGAACAGGGGGCGGATGTGATGTCCAAGGACGGTTTTGCGTCACGGGGACCGGGACCCTCCATCCAGAGCTGATGGTTCAGATGCGGCAGAAATCTTGCGAGCGGCTGTGGACCTGTTTGCAACACGAGAGAATGCTCAATGTCAACTATGGTTCTCACTGAGCCCACGGGACGAACCACCGCTAGGGGTGGACGCGTTCGCTCACACGGCCAAAATGCTTCTTCACTTTCCCCCTCTCTCTCTGATATCACAGTTTCTGAACCGAGCTCAGGAGGAGGGACTGACATCTCTTCTGTCCCGAGCGCGTGAACGCATCATGGTTCCCAGTCCTACGACGCCTGTTATCAGGGCGCTCGTGGAATCTGCCGTGGAGGGAGGACGCTCTCCTCCAGGCGGGAGGAGCGATCAGGAGTTACCCAGAATAGGCCAGCACCTTTTGGTCTGGCCGCTGAGCGGATCCACTTAGAGAGGATGGGTCTCTCTCAAGATGTAGTGTATACGATTCAGGATTCATGTGCTGCATCCACCACAGCGTTGTTCACATCAAGTGGACAGCCTTTCAGCGCTGCTGTACAGCGAAAGGTGTAGAGGCCACTTCATGTCCACTAGGTGGTGTGCCATCCTCTCTGCAGCAGCTGATGGACAGAAATCTGGCGTTCAGCACGATTAAAACGTATGCTGCAGCCATCTCTTCCTGTCACAAAGTTTTTGGGTACAGAACAGCTTTTAATCATCCGCTGATGAAGCGTTTTTTAAAAGGTGTACAGAGAGGTGTAGAAGCCACCTCATGTCCACCAGGTGGCGTGTTGTCCTTTCTGCAGCAGCTGATGGACAGAAATCTGGCGTTCAGCACGAGTAAACATATGCTGCAGCTATCTCTTCTTGTCACAAAGGTTTTCGGAGACAAAACAGCTTTTAATCATCCGCTGATGAAGCGTTTTTTTAAAGATGTACAGAGACGCAGGCCTTTTTCACGCCCCCTTGCTCCACAGTGGGACTTAACGCTGGTCCTGTGAGTCCTGATCTAAGTTTCATCTGAGCTACTGAATCAGGTTTCCAATTAAATTCTTGTCTCTTTAAACAGCCCTGCTGTTTGAAACCATTAGTGAAAAGGCCAGACTTCAGGGGTATCTGAGGCA